GTGGTTCTCCATCTAAATTCAGTCCCACACAGGGCTTTTTTTTCCACGTCAACGTGATTAGGGGGCACCTATTCCCTGCCAGATCTCCTTAGCCCTGCTTTGCCCACTCCAGCAGAGCGCTTTCACTCATCACAAGGATTTAAATAGTGGAAATTTTCATAATGGAAACACTGATGGGGCTTAAAGAAGAGCAGCACAAATAGCGCCTCAGCAGTTCCCAGGGCTTTGCTGTCAGACTGTGAACACGGCCTCCCAGTTTCCGATTACTCTTGGGAAACATTCCTTAATCTCTCATTATGGCCTGAGTAACGCTGCCTTCCACGGGAGCTTTGGAGGCCATTAGGCTTCCACATCGCTGGCACCTCCGTGACACCGTCATCATGTGAGAGGAGCACAGGTACGTGCTTCCACACACACCATGACTACAACAGTGAGCATAATTTCAGAAATGCAGCAAGACCACTCCCTCCAGCAAAAAAGCCCTGTGACTCCTTCAAGGTCTATATTTAGTGGTCAAAACTTGCTAGATGTTTCCGTGACCTGCTCCATGGGGTATCAGCTGGTGACACTGACATAAACAGGAGTTCAAGGCCATAAAATTCTCTAGTTGCCATAAATATAATCATCTGAATCACTAGCCTCTTGTACCTTATTCTACAAAACTACTGTCAGAGGGCAGGTTAGGTTTCCTTACGTTTTCTCCCTCGTATTTCCAAAAGGAGCCAGAACTAGTCTTCATTAACAGGGTGATTCCCTTCATGGGATGCAGGAATTCTGCCGGCATCGTGCAGCAGACACCCCACTCCTGCCCACACCACACACAGGAGCATTGCTCATGAGTTCAGAGGAGCCTGCACTTTACACCCATTCACGATGCAACTCGCCAGCCTCACTCTGGAAGGGAATTAAAAGTGGATTTAACCAGCCTGACCCCAGGAGTGCCATCTCCAAGACACTGGTGTCTTAGTCATTCCAAGAGTCACACTGGAGCCCTGTCTCAGGAGACCAGATCAGTAATGTCTGAGGAGCAGAAGATCTTGCATTAGGTGGCACAAGAGGTGGTGAGGCAAGGGGTGACACGGCAGCACTGATTCACCCTCCATCACACAGTGCCAAAGCAGCGCAGCAAAAGTGAACAGCGCTGCAGGGCACACCAAGGGACATTGCCACACAGAGCTCCAGAGGTCTCTGGAGGGACAGCAGGAGGCACGTGCACAAGATGAAGCCGCTGGCTGCTAGTTCACGTGTCAGAACAGGATGGTGGAAGAGAGCACAACTGAATGTCAAACAGCTGTGACCCTACAGAGCACAAGGACTCCCTGCAGCAGCAATAGAATAAGTCTGTTCTTACTGGGTGAGGAGTAGAGTCAAAACCAGTCCTGGAAGACAGGCCATTCAGCATGAAAATGTTTGTTCTACCACGCCATGCCTTAATCCACAGACACAAGAAGAAAACAAATAAGTTTGGACTGCAAGGACTCCATGCTCTATGGCACCTCCTTAGGAGTTTCAGGTGATGTTGCCTCCCCAGTAGAAATATCTTACCAGACACCGCTAAGTTTTTATTATCAAAATGAATGAGGAGTTGAGTTGATCTCCACAGTTTTGGGATCTATATTTTAGGAAAGGCCATTTTCAACCCACATATTCCTACAAGTGAAACAATAACTCCTTATTGTCATTCATCTCCACCTTAAGCAACAAGAGCTCATTATGCTATGCTTGAAAAAAGGAATAGAAAAGTCCTGCGCTCCAGATGTCAGATGTGTTTCCAGACTGCTGCCGTCCGGACTAACTCCAAATGCTCTGCAAGGCAGCTAAGGAGTGAGGGATTGTTTGGCTGCAAGTAACGCATCTGCATATGGACAAATTTAGTTTCCACTTTATGCCAAACATCTCTTAGGCCTAGGAAAGATCTGCAGCACAACCCCATACAGATACTAGAGAGCACTTTCTAAATATAAAAAGGCAATAAAACCCAATTTATCTGTTTCTTGAGCAGATTCTCTCATTAGGCTCCTGGAATAGTCACAGCACCTCTCATTAATACATGAGCACATAATAATGGGAATATGCATATTTTATTTGGTGAGCCATTCTCACATAATGATGCTGCTCCTACGATTTCAGTGAGGGGATTTATAAAAGTCCAGACCCTGCACCTTTATGCATTAAACATGCACCAGTGCCATTTTTTTTCCAGGAAGCTTCTAACTTTGTCGTTATTTATGAGCCAATATCACAAAGATGCTTGAGAGGAAAAAAAAATAAAAATAAAAAAATAAAAGAAAAAAAGAGGGACAATGCAACTTTCCCAGAGTTGAGGGATAAAACAACAGTGTCAGGGAATGAGCTGCTGCATGAGATATCAGTGTTGCAAGTGCCTGTCTGGGGGCAAATTTGTCATTACATCAGAAAATTTAAAGTTTTATTAGGCTAGGTTTGCATTTTCCTGGTTAAAAGTTAATGCTAATGAAAGCATCACTAGGCGTAATCACTTGCTTACAGCCTTTGTGGTTTTAGCAACCATTTCCTTGTGTGCAAGGAACATGTGAGTAAAAGTTAAAGTCACTGTTGACAGGAGGTGCAGAGGAAGGGAAGAGTCAAGATACAATAATGCCATAGAAAAAGCTGCAGGGCCATATTAAGATTCATAGCAACTTTTTTCTCTCTTTTTTTTTTTTTTTTTAATGAAGTTACAGTAGAAGAATACACCTTTGCAGTTTTATTAATCCTCAAAATAATGTCTCAAGTTAAATAAAATAACTGCAACTATGACATTTTCAAGRGTAAATATATACATATATTGGTATCTATGGATGAAGCAATTAATCTTGTACAAGGAGAACAAGATCAGCAAGAAAAAAGTCTTTTCTACAAAGTAAAGGGTGGGCAGAAATCAGTCTTCCACAGAATTTGCATTTACCCTTGCAGAGAGTTTACTCTTATATAAATCCTGAACAGAGCAAGGCCAAATCCTCACATCATCAGATACACAGACTGATGTGCAGGGACACAGATCACCTTCTACCAGATTCCCAGCCTTGGGAGCACTACAGAGCACCCCCAACACAGCCTAAGTCATTGCATTTTGTCAACAAGTCACATTACCCAAGGACATACAGGGAGCCTCTGAAAGCTGGTAACACAAAACACGCCTGGGCATGTCCTGGAAGCAGGACCATTTCTGAGTTCCTATTTTTTTTTTCCCCCCACTACTTACAGTTTCTTGCACACAATTCAACTACACTGCTAAATATAGAATTTAGCTAAAGCTCTTTTGTCAACACATGAGGAAAAAAAATGCATTGTCTCAGTAATAGCTGCTAWGAACTCACTACTTTAGGTGGAGCATCTGAGCTGCTCCTATCTGGCAGCTGTTTGAGGCAGGCAGAGGAACAGGACACACACAAAAGCTCTGAAATATCTGCAGGAAGTAAATCCTGCAGGGTACTACTACATGCAAATGCAAACGATARGGAACAAGCAGAAATAGCCACTCATTGCCTCAGCTGAGAAATTATAGAGCAAGTAAACTTAGGAGTACAGGGAAAGAGAATGAAAAAGAATAAAATAAATAAAAAGAAATATGTGGTGCCTCAAGCACCCTTTTCCCAGTGGAAACTTCTCCATCTCTGTGCTACTCTGTGGCATCATAGCAAAGGAAGTCACTCCCTTTGGACTTCACATGATGGCTCCARATGCTAGCTCATGAGGACAGGTGGTCGCTTGTCCAAAGGGTATTTCCAAGAACTGCTCCTAATGCCTTTGCCTCTTCCCTCCCCSCAGTCGCCATCCATCTGCCTTTAACAAAAACAGTACCAGGCACTACCCGCTTTCCAGGAACCTCCACTAACCCCCCACAGGACCTTGTCCTGACCCGCTGTGCTGGCAGGGCTGGGCACAGCGGGTGACACGGTCCTGCTGAGCGAGGCTGGCGCGCGCAGACTACAGCGCCCAGAAGGCACCGCAGCAGCCACCGAGGCGCGTGTCTCGGGTGACGTGGAGGCCACCGGAGCCAATCCACGGGAGCAGGAGGAATGTCAAYAAACACGGCAGCCTGGGGGCCACGTGATACCAGGGACGGACGGGGGCCAGCAGCTCCAGATAAGCCACCCAACAGCCACCCGGGTGGTCCGACTTGCRCATTGGGGCCAACAGCCACCACAGCCGTGGCTCGTAAATATAAAACCTTAGGGTGAAACGGGCTCTTATCACACACTCCAGCCCTCAGTCTGGAAACAGAGGAATTCCATTCTATACATCTATAGCCTGCAGCATTTTACCAAAAAAATAACATAAATAATGTTGCGTTGAAAATGCCTCCTGGCCCAACAGATCTTTGTAACTAAAAGTCCAAGGAAAAAATGTCATTGATTAACCCGAGTTTCAGAGCACATCAGTTCCAGTCCCCTACAGGGGATTTTTAGGGCTGACTTTGTAGGAAAAAGCAACTGTGGGAAACCACAATGATCTAAAAACATCTCCTGCAATTTTTAAGCACTTACTGATTGCCACAAGGACAACAGAAAAATGCAAATGATAATCCTGAGAAACTGAGCACAAATCATATGCTACAGAGTCAYGCTGACACCATTTCTACGTGAAATGAAGCAGTCTATGAAAAAGAAACATTCAAAAGAGCAGGCATGCCAAGAACTACTCTAATTTTATTTAATTTTAACATTTTAAGAACTTAAGGCTTTCCAAGACACAGACATATTCACCACGCACTACATTTCACCACACAATATTCAGGAGCTCCCATGCTAGGGAGGAGCAGGAGCTCCCACCTCAACTACATGAGTGCTCTGTGGCCCAGAACACAATTAATACATSATTTGCTCAGACATGTTTGTTTATCTTTCCCTAGCTTATTAGGGCCTTTTTCCAAGAATAGGTATATGTCTGATTACAAACATCTGTTAAAAACAAACTCTGCAAACTCCACTTAACCTCTCCCAAATCTAGAATGCTTTGCCATAATTAAATGTGTTTACCTGGAAGTCGTACAAGGCAACGATGTTTTCATGTTTCAATTCCTAGAAAAAAAAATAAGACAAAGGCAGTAAGCCATGAATAACAAAGAAGATATCTAACAAAGACCCTGAAGAAAATAATTCATTCTGCCTTTACCTTAAGTATTTTTATTTCCTTGCCCAGCAGAGTTTGTGACTTCGCAAGGTTTTTCTTGTTAATGCATTTCACAGCTACCTCCAGCTCAGGTTTCTGAAAGTTAAAAAGTGCATGTGTAATTCAAAGATATATGTAAATTCCACCATTAATTTACATTAGGATAAGCAGACTCTTAATAGATTAAAAATACAACTGGAAGAAGTATCTTGCAGCATTAGGATAGGCCTCTACTTTATGCCCTAATGCATGTCCCTCACTTGTTCAGACTTGCCCTTCCCTGAATTATGCCCGTCAGCCCAAGGAGAAAAGCCCGAGGTTCGGGTTTTTGTTATTACTTTATACCACGATTATCCTCTTATTTAAGCGCTAGAAATAAATGTACTGTGGGAACCGGGGCTTATCCTGAGCGCTAATGATGGAAAATCCACAGATGGATTGGTTTCCTTTTATTTAAGGGTGAGCGATTTCTCCTCCCCTTGGGAAAAAATGAAGAGGAGCAAGATGGAGCAAACTCCACAGTGACCGAGAGCCACTCTGGAGTCAATCCTGGGAGTCAGGCAGTATTTTGGGTTAAGTTTGCTGGCTTTTGTTTTGTTTTCTGCCTCTTCTTTGTTTGGGCTCCTCCGGCCCTTTTATTTTGCCTYTGATTTAAGACGAGGGTAAGTTTTTTTGGCATGGATGGCGTTTCCCTGGGGCGCAACCGCTCGTCCCCTCACAGGACCACGCTGGGGGCTGCCGGCAAGACACAAGGTCGAGCCCCGTCCCAAGGCCCGATGGGGCCTGTGTCCCAAAGACAGCAGCGATCAATAGTAATAATAACAACAATAATAATATCCCTCCCAGGACACGCTTCCCAACTCCCCAGAGCCGTCCCAGCGCTAAGGCCAGACGGGGACAGCGCCAAGGCGAGGGGAACAGCGGCGCCCAAGGGCAGCCCAGGCCACGCAGCGGGGTCTCACCTCCCGGTGGCGGCCTTTGAAGACCACGGCGAAGGCCCCGTGCCCGATGAGGTCCTTCCTGCTGAACTCAAACTTGCCCACCGCCTCCATGGCGCRACGCCGGGCGGGCGGCTGGCGAGGCGAGGCGGGCGGCCGAGCTACGTGGTGGCGGACACTTGGGAGCGCAGGGGCGAGGAGCGCGAGGGCGACGGCAGTGAAGAAGCTCCCTTCAAAAAACAATAAATAAAATAAAAATAAGTAAGAAGGGGGTATGTGAGGCTCCGGGCCGGTASGCGGCCAGGCGCGGGGCAGCGGCCCCGGGCAGGGGCAGCGCCTCCCGGCCGGCACCTGCCCCGCGCCCCCACCTCTCCTCCGGCCAGCGGCTGCCTTTTCCTGGAGGCCGCCCGGGCGCTGCTCATTGTTAGAGGCCGGGGCGAAGCGCGCTCCTCAGAAGCGGCCCTTGCCCATCGGCTCCTCGGCACCGACCGGCCCGCCGGCCGGCGCAGCCCGTCGTCCCGTTGCTGTCGCCGCCGCCGCTACTGCGGGCGCCTCTGCCCGCGCCGAGGGCGGCGCGACGCGTCCCRGCCCTCCCCCTGCCGCCCCGCCCCACGCCACCTTAAATCACGCGCCGCCTTAAGGGCAAGTCCGCCTTAAGGCTCCCGGCCGCCTCAAGGGCCGCCGCCGCCGTGCCGCCCTGCTCGGTCCCGCGGCAGCCCCGCGAGTCCCCGCGGCCGCCCGGAGCTCCGCGGCGCGGCCCCGAGCAGAGCGGCGGCCGCGGCGCACGCGCGGCTGCGAGCGGGGGAGGCGGCGGCGCCACCTGAGGCGCCCGGGGGAGGAGGAGGAGGAGAGCGGCCGCCCCGCTCCCACCGCGGGGGCTACGCGCGCGTTTCTGCCCGCTTCTTGTGTAGCCGCTTCCACACGATTAAAATATAATAAATAAAACAAAAATCGGATTGAATGCATGGGAGTTTACCACACAAAAGCCCCGCGCGCAGGCCCCTCTGCTCCAAAACTGCCGCTTTTGAGCGAGCCCCCACACAAAACAAGGCTCGGAGGGACCGTGAGGCCAGCGCTGCTGATCGGCTAAACTGGGAAATTGAGACGTGCTTTGAACACAACCTGCTGCAGGGGTTGCTCCCTCGGCCTCTAAAGTTCACGCTTTCAGGCTTTTGCCTGGGAGTGCAAGGGGTTAATTCAAAAATTAACCCCCGAGCTGTGCCGTAATAGCAAGCCTCATAAAACTTGCAGCACAGTCAGGCTATTTGGTGAACGGCAGGCAGGGGAATTTGCTTTGCCAGTTGTTTAAAAGCCGCTAYGTCCAGCGCGGAGCACAACAGTTGCAAAAGTTTTGAGGCAGGAAGTGAAGAAATTGTTCGGAAACATCTTAGAGAGCAGCTTGGTAGGCAAAATTGTGTATCCGTTCCCCCTTCRCTGGAAAATAGCCAGGGCACCATGGTTGGCCTGCCTGCCCTTGCACAAAATGTGGTAAAATCTCTAGTGACCGCAGGTGTTTCTGCTTTTATTTTCCTCTCGGCGGAGGCGCGCGCAGCCCCGCTGCAGAGCAAACGGGGAAGCGGATACAAACACTGTTCAATTAAGAGGCCAAAATATCCCTGGGATGGATGTTCTTTGTTCTGTACGGCGTGTGCTCACGCATTGCTCCGTATGCTGAGGGCTGCGGAAAAAGAAAGCTGGGCTTAAAGAGGTTTTAAATAGGTTTCTTTTTGATTAAATGTAGGCCCTAACAAAGCCTACGAGGAGGCAAAGGGAGCCTCCTCTTAGCTGACATTTAATTCTATTTTTATTCTTAAAACAAAGGTATTATGATTTTGAAGTGAATTTGCTTACCAAGAAGTCTGAAAACYCGCTGTGTATGTAGGGAATGAGTGGACCTTCAAAGCAGCACAGTGATTTTGAAGGCCCTTGATGGCTCTACAAGGATCAAGACCAAGTTGTGCTGGATACCATGCACGCACATGAGCCACGACAGGGTGTTTGCACTGACACTTGTAGCAGTTACACCATTCTCCAATGTGTCTTGTCTCCCCCAAAATAACATAGATTTCAAAGGCAAGCCAACTTTTACATGCATCTAAAAACTTACTCAAGGACAAGTAACTGTGTCAAGCCACATCACAGCAGATACAGCTTTGAGATATTGGGAGGGCACTCTGGGAGGGGTGAGGAGATCCTTGGCCAGATACAGTGGTGAAGAACAGGTTCTCTGCTCTGTGTATCTCCATTTTGAAATCAGACTTCTGCTAGATGCTGAGGAAAGCTCCAAGGCTCCTTTGTAAACTCATTTCTGTGATGAATACTTTCTCATACTGAAAAAAAAAAGGCATGGGAAAAAAAACTGGTGGTTTTGGAGGAAAAGAAGTGCTGAACCATGAGGCTTGGGCGCATGAGTAAGCTGTGACTTAACTAGATACTGACAGTGCCAGTTACTGCTTGTTAAATGATCACGCATCTCTTCATTACATGGAATGAGATGTGCTAGTTTAAGATCTTAAAATGAGCTTTAACTTGCATGTGACATGGCAATAGGTGCACATGGAGGTAGTGCTGCTGCAGGGCGAGTAATTTGCTTTGTAGAAATGGGTTCATTGGCACTGGACAATTATTCTCAGTATTTCATGGCCAAAAAAAMCAGAAAAATTAACATGAATTCAGAGAGAAGTAGCAGGAATGATCATGTATGGCTTAATTTCAAACACATCTGGACTAAAAGCAGATACTGTATTCACGCAGTTCAAAATCTGTTTCAAACTCAGGCACGTTAAAACCAGTTAAACATTCACTTTCCGCAAACAGCTCAGCACAGTCACCACAAATGTCTGGGCAGAGCCAACATGAACCTGAATGCTGGAATATTTGCCAGGTTCATCAGGAAGGAGTAAAGGAGCTGAATGTGCCATGCTTGGCAGAGAATAAGCTTGGTGGAAGGAAAGCGCAGAGGTGCACAAATATCTGTAAGTGGTAAAAGAAGTATTAGCACTAATGGAATCGAAGACAAGCAATGACCTGAATTTAATGGTAAATTAAAGCTACGCTTCTTAATCCAGGCCTTTTCAGATACTGATTCTGACTCAGTTACAGGTGGGCAAAATATAGACTGATAGAATTGCACCAAAATCACACCAGAAAGCCTGTATTTTGAACACAGCAGCATCATGTTGCGTTTCTAGAGAGGCTGAACAAGTAAATTAATTTGAAGCCCCCAAAACATATGTAAGTTTATAGCAATGATGTAAGCCATGTCAAGAGCCTCACTCAAGACTCGATAACTTCTCTTACCCTGCTAAAATGTTTTTTATCTTCAGGAGGGATCCCCCACTCCCAACATCAGCTTTTGATCAGTGAAACTGGAGACACTAAATTAAGTGACAGACTTCACTTAAAAATCATCTCCCCATCTCTCAGAGTCAGCAGCTCTCCCGTGTCACACACAGAGCTCCATCTAACAGACTTGGACAGGTAGGTGACATTTGAACAYGCAGGAACAGCTGGAAAAACTGAGTATTTGAATTTCGCTGCAGGGAACTGATAATATTGACTGCTTGCAATACTGGTTGTAGAGGGCTATGGTACCTAGTGTTCCTTAAGCACCASAGAGAAGGAAATGCTTTCCAGGCATTTCCAAAGCCCTGTCATATTATGTCCTGAATTTATTTACACTGTGGGCCCTGTTATTGATTAATGCTGTTGGGAGATTTAACTAGCCACTCAATTATCCTGGCAGGCCAGGACTGAGATGTTTTATTACTCCCCTCCCCACACGTATATAACCAGCTTGCTGAGCAGCTTTTATGAATTATTGAGGCAGGATTTTAATGTACTCAGCAAGGTGCTCTGGCAAGGGGCTTCCTCRTTTCCCCTTGCGTTTTAATAGCGGCTGCACTTCAGCTACTGGCAGAGGGCTGCAGGCACCAACGGCTGTTCTCAATGTTGAAATCAGTGCTCACATCAAGGACTATCACCTAACCTGCCTGTCAAACAGCTGACTGTGTCAACATGAAGTTTGCCATAAATAAGAGAGTCAAAAAAATCAACAGCAGTGGATTTTCAGGCTAATTGGACGGTAAGTCTTGCCRACACGAGCACTGTCTGTCCTTAAATCAGTAGGTATCGTCATGTACTTCCTTACAAGAGGTGGTGTCCATCACAGATAGGAAAGGATCTATCCCTTACATTCTCAGCATGGCTGGGTTTACGGCAGAAACAAGTTGCTTGGGAGAAGTTCTCCAGCATAGAAACCTGTAACAATAAGTAACAGGGAAAAAAAACCTTTTCAGTGGAGCATCAGAAAAGTGACCTTACTGTTTGGAATTTTTCAGATGCACTTGATGGAAAGAAAAAAAAAAAGAGAGAAAAAAGAAAAGCCCTGACCTGCTAAGATATCAGACCTGCCCACGTCTGTGCTCCAATGCTCACAGCACTGCAGCAAAAGGGAAGACTTGAGGTGAGGAAGGCAGTGAAATAAAGCAGATACTTTTAGTCCAACTTTTGATTTTTTTTTTCTTCTTTTTGCACATCCCGTGAGCTCTCTGCTCAATGAATGCACACAACAATTGCCCTGAAACACAGTTTGGCTGAAGTGCTTGATTGGGATTGAAGATATCTGCCCACAGACTTCCCTCTTGACAAACCAGAGCTACATCTCTGAACAGTATTTAGTATTTAATTCCCCTAGGTTCCTGTCTGTTCCTCTTTTCCTTTCTCTTATGAATGGCAAGGTCTTTCAAGACCTAATTTCTGTACTTTTTTTTTTTTTTTGACAGTAACTCTAATGCAATAATGATAATGGCTACATCGAATTAAAGATCAGAAACGTGTGTGTGTCTCCACAAATGATGTGTGTGGCCCTGACCTCGTTTACCCTTTGTCAAATGCAACAAACTACAGTCACCAACAAAGACAACTAATATCTGAAGGAAAGTAACAGGAAAAAAAAAAAATAAAAAAAAAAAACCCAAACCACCAACCACAATCTAGGAGTTCTCTGTTCGTGGCAAGTGCTCCCCAGGGCGAGCTACAAGCTGTATGAGCTTTTCAGCTAATAAAGCCAGGCTAACCCTAGTGTTTCCCAGCAGACAACTTTGTTTTTATTG